ATGAAATGAAATGAAATGAAATGAAATTAAATTAAATTAAATTAAATTAAATTAAAAAAATAATAAAATAAAAATAAAAATAAAATATGAACTTATTAAATAACAAAATAGTAAATTAAAATATTAAAGAAAAAAGAAATAATAAGTTATAAAACAAAATAAAAATAAAATTGAATAAAAATAAAATTAAATTAAGATAAAAAAATAAAATCAAATAAAATGAAATTAAATAAAATAAATAAAAATAAAATATTATAAAAATAATAATAATGAAATAAAGTAAAAATAAAATAAAGTATGAAATTATAAAATAACAAAATAATAAAATATAAAAAAATAAATAAGATATAAAAAAATAAAAATAAAAATAAAAATAAAAATAAAATAAAATAAAAATAATATTAAATAGAAATAAAACACAAATATCCAGAATTATTATTTTACTTCATCTTTAATTTTATTTTCGATAATTTTATTTTTCTCCCCTTTTTCCCGTCAGTTTTATTTCAATTTTTAATTCCGTTTAATTCCGTTTAATTCCATTTTATCATCAAAAAATTCCCAACGATTCCAAAAAATGAAAATAACGAATAAAACCGAGAAGAAAATGAAATTATTTATTCCTTTCCTGAAATCAGGGTTTTATTAATAATTAATAATGAAGCGTAATAAGATTTAATCAACTTTAATAGATGTTAATAAATCAATAAAATAAAATAAATAAAATAAAATATATATTATAAAATATATAATAAAATATATATATATTAAAATAAATAAATAAAAATAAAATTTAAATTAAATTAAAATAATTTTAAATTAAGATAAAATAAAAAATGCATTAAATTAAATTTAATATAATATAAAATAATAAAAAATAAAATAAAATAAAATATAAAAACAACATAAAAATTAAATTAAATTAGATTCAAATAAATTAAATTCAAATACATTAAATTCAAATAAATTAAATTAAATATAACATAACCTGACATAAAAACACATAAAATAAAATAAAGATAAAATATAATAAAAATCGGATAAAATAAGATAAATAAAATAAAGGTAAACTAAAATAATCTGAAATTTAAGTAAACTAAATTAAAATAAAATAAAATAAAAGAACATGAAATAAAATAAAAATACCCTGAAATAACATAAAATGAAAATTAGAAAAAATGAGATTAAATATAATAAATATAAAATCAAATGAAATAAGATCAAGTAAAATAAAAGATGACATAAAATAAAATAAAATAAAATAAAATAAAATAAAATTAGACTCAACTAAAATAAAATAAAATAAAATAAAATAAAATAAAATTAGACTCAACTAAAGTAAAATAAAATAAGTGAGATGTTATAAAATAACGTAAGTTAAAATAAAATAAAAGATAAAATAACAAGAAATAAAAATAAAATTAAATTAAATACAATAAAATAAGATTATATATAATAAAAATAGGATTAAATAAAATAAAATAAGATTAAATATAATTAAAAAAAGATAAAATAAGATAAATTAAAATAAAATTAAGATAAAATGAAACAAAGATGAAATGAAACTAAACTAAAAAAAATTAAATTAAAGGAACTATAAAATTAAATTAAATTAAATTAAATTAAATAACCTACAATTAGACTAAAATAAAATAAAATAAAATAGAATAAAAGTGAGATAAAATAAAACAACGTAACTTAAAATATAATTAAAAAAAGATGAAGTAACACAAAATAAAAATAAGATAAAATAAGATTAAATATTACAAAACTAAGGTAAAATAAAACAAAATAACCTAAAATTAAATTAAACTAAACTGAAATAGGATAATATAAGTGAAGTAAAATAAAATAAAATAAGATTAAATATAATAAAAATAATAATTAAAAAATTGAGATAAAATGAGATAAAATGAGATAAAATAAAATAAAATAAAATAAAATAAGATTACATATAAGAAAAATAAGAGAAATTAAGATTAAATAAAATAAAGATAAAATTAAGATAAATTAAAATAAAATTAAAATAAAATATAAAGGGATAAAATAAAAAGGAATAAAATAAAAAGGGATAAAATAAAATAAAAAAAATAAAAAGGAATAAAATAAAAAGGGATAAAATAAAATAAAAAGAAATAAAAAGAAATAAAAAGAAATAAAAAGAAATAAAATAAAAAATAATAAAATAAAAAGAAATAAAATAAAATAAAATAAAATAAAATAAAATAAAATAAAATAAAATAAAATAAAATAAAATAAAATAACGATAAAATAAAATAAAATAAAGATAAAATAAAATAAAATAAAATAAAATAAAATAAAATAAAATAAAATAAAATAAAATAAAATAAAATAAAATAAAATAAAATAAAATAACGATAAAATAAAACAAAACCA